CATGTATAAAACATAGGGGGAATTATTTCTTTACTTATCAAATTTCTATCATTTCTTGTGTATTTCCTTACCTATTAAATCTCTATCATCTCTTGTTTGTCATAATAAAAAAGGGAGAAATTGTTGACCTATGGTTGACTTTTTATTTTGATTATAACAAACAAATTATGTTTAACAATTGTATTTGAGTGATTGTAGAAGTTATGACAAACGTGGACAAAATGATGCTTTTGGAGCTTTCGCAAATTTAGTAAAATAGAAGCTGAGCTACACATCAAGACAACGAGCACTTCATCAAGTTAAACAAAGATGAGATTAGAAGAAATTAGACTTAGATACCTTGATCTCAGATGTTAAGGTAAAACACTTTAGTATTTGGCAATTACGTCATTTGAAGTTCAAGAAATGTTTCTTTACATAACAAACACGATTTTTGCATAAAGAATTTTTCTTAAGGCATGAGCCTATTATACACTTTAAGAAATGTCAAAAAAGTTTGAAAAATAAGTTATAAATATCCTTCATGAGATTACATCTTTTTAAAACATTAAAAGAAGGAAAATTTCTAACTACCGGACACAAGTTGGCCTAGAGACGCATCCAATAGCTCTAGCAGACGCGTCTAGTAATCCCAGCAGACCTCCGATATGGTAGGTTTGTCCAATGGTACGTTCTAATTTCTGAACAAAAAACGGTTAGTTGACCGTCCGGTAAGCTAGCGGACGTCCGATAGCCTCGTTCGGTAAGACAGAACTTTTGGCGTTTTTGCTACTATAAATACCAGATCATTTTGCATTCAAAGATAGACTTTTGTGAGCATTAAAGTGAGATATTATTGATCTTAACTACTCAATCATTTTTCTATATCTATATTTTCAACTCATTTATATTAGAAAAACTTTTGATTGATTCAACCTTTGAAAATTATTCTATTCATCAAAGTTTTTCTTATTTAACACTTGAGCTTCAATTATTGCTATCTACTAAAGTGTTAGCCATCATCTTAAAAGGTCAATCTTATTAAGAAGAGTAGTCCAAAACCTTATAAGTTGATCTATATTCACATCTTTATTCGATGTGGCTATATCTCTTCCTTCAACGGCAACATCGACCCCGCAACACACACTAAAACGCTACAAATGACCTTTTGCAGCATTTTTTGACCACTACAAAAGCTCTTTTTTGGTGTAATGTTTGTATTATATATAGAAATAATTAAATATCTTGAAATCATCCAACTTTTATAATTATCCTTTGATATAGTGAATTTTTCCTTCTCAGTCAGCGGTTTTTTCCTTCTTGAATTTGCACATAAATTTTGTGTTTTTTGTTCGTATATTTTCATGTTGCCAAGGGGATTTGGAGTTCATTAACGCTGTAACTATTCACTGACATACATTTCCAAATAGTAATTGTATTGCAGCTGAAGGCATTGACTTTAGTCTATCGTGAAATATTTTCATTTTCTACTACCTAGATTTTTTGTTGATATTTTCTATTTTGCTATACCCCCTGACTTTACCTGCTTTTTTAAGCTCAAAAGAGAAAGTTGGGTGTATTGGCTGATGAAGAATTGAAAAACGAGAGTTATGTTAAAGAAGAGAGAATCAGAACAAAACCCACTTGATTGGCGAAGGAACACCTATGATAGTAAATTGGAATTCCATAACCCCCTTGGCTTTTCTCTACTCTCTTCATTTTCTAACATTTCCTAAATTTAATGTAGACCATTCGAAGAGAGCCTTTTGTGTGGAGTTGGTCAAAGCTTAAAGCTTCTGGTGTCATTTTGGAATTGCTAGATGTTTGAGATCCCCTTGGTAGACGCTTTGTTGACATAAAAAATGGTCATGAAAGCGGGACTGCTTCTCAATAAAATTAATCCTATTATTTAAGGTAAATATTTTTGATAGCTGAATTGAACCTAATAAAATGTTTTTGGTGGAGATGAAATCTTATTAATTTAAGGAGTATTTTGTTCAGAATAGTGCACATGTTTATTATGTTTTCTTCCTTTTTTTATTTTGGATGCTCTTCTATGTACAATTGGAATTTTAGATGTGAATTGTTAGAAAAGAAATGGGAAATCACCTTAATACTCATTTTTACATCTTATATCGTGTACCAAGAGAAGCTTCTGAGAAGTGGCTCAAAGTATCTTAGAGGGGAATTACCCACAGTTGCTTTAAGTGCGGCACCTAGGAGCACAAATCTAACCTCGGGTGGAAATCCAGTTTGAAGGCTGGAAGGAAAATAAAAATTCAAAAGGCAAAACAATATTATCCAAGCAAGTGATTGCCATGGAGCTAACATTCTTATAAAGTTACTAAAGAACTACTGAAGAAGCCATGAGTTTAGGGTTTTTCCCTTTTTTTTTTTTCCCCCCTGCTGTAATAAACATGTTAAATTGTTGGACTGTTCTGGGGACGTGATGCTTAAATATGTTGAGAATGATGCATCTGTTAATCTTTGAAATTGCAAGAAAATTGAAAAATTAAATGATCCAATTAGTCCTAGTAAATTAAATTGCTGTCTTTACTCATGATAATCTCTTTATCATTATTAGATAAATAGCAAATTTGTCCATTTTACAACCCGTGCAATTAAGGAAATACTCAAACGATGCCTTGGTGTTCTCAAACCCATAGCCTTAGTATTTACAACTACCATTGGTTGAGATATGGGGGCAAAGTTGGATCCGATGTTGTGCAATTACTTGCTCAGAATTGAAAATAGAATGGAGCAAGAGCATACTTTGCAAGTGCATTAAATTTTCAAATAGTATAATCTTGCCATTTGATGATGAAATCACATCTTTAAAATAATTGATACATCATGTTTTTACAGAAATGAAAGCATATGCTAATAATTTACATGCCATATAAAGTCGAGTCATTCTTATGCCTAGAAAAGAATGTGTTAGTCATATTAACAAAATTTTACCTGATCAGATTTCTGGTGAAATTTTTACGTACCATAATTTTGATGAAGACAGTGACAAATCAAAGTAAATCTTGTAGGAAGATTTCTCGAATATTTTGACGTGAAATGTTATTATGCTGTATTTACGATTAATCCATTCAAATTTTCTATAAGACAAAGATTTGAACGCATTAGACAAGTAGATTATGATTGCACTAATAATTATTATTCTCTCTAACTTCTCTCAACATATCTTTGCCTTCTGTTTTATTTTTTGAAGAACAGTTCGAAAGTAAGTTTTGTCTGGAACGTGTTTGAAGTTTTCTTTATTTCTTCGTACTCTTGAGATGTTTCATAACTATATTTTATGGTTGAAATCATATGAAAATTTGAGTCTTCAAATTAAGTTAATTTTGCTTACCTCATTCAACGAACATATCTTCTGTCAATTCTTAACATTCAGCATGCTAACATTACTTTAAAAATAACATAATTTTTGTATTGCATGGAGAAAAGAGTAATGATAAATAAAATAGCCTAGTTAACCCCACCAATAAAATGATGTCGTTCCTTGCTGTTATTTTAAAATAAGATCACATTTCAAACTATTTGATTGATTTCCACTTCTAATTGAACTTGTCCAAAAAAATCAAAAAGAGAGTACATATTTTATAGTAATTTAATGATATGGTATATAATAAATAAGGATGACAAAAAATTTTTGTCAAACCCAATACTCGTGGCCTCACCCTAAAAGGAGCGAAAATTACCCGCTTAATTGGGTATTTGGGTCAGGATAACAAAGATCCTCCGTCCTACGTCGTTTAACTTTTTTTTTTTTTTTTAAGAATTCAATATTTTAAATGGAAAATTTCACGAAATTTCATTAGTTTTAATAGAATATGGCAACTAAGGCTATTGAAGGAATATGACAAACAATAAAAATTTAATTTTACTAAATATATTTGAATAATTTAATTTTTAAAAATAAACAAATTAAATAAAAATTTTAATAAATATATTATTGTCTGAATTTAATGAATGAGGACAATAAAATGGATTATCAAAAATAAAAACTAAAAAAAAAAATTAAACAGGTACTAAATGGGGGCAAGGGCCCCGTTCCGCCCTACTTTAAATGGGTAATGGGACGGCAAATTACTCAATAGGGCGGGGGATGGGGGAGGTTGCGCAAGTTTCGACTTGTTCCGTTGCCATCCCTAATAAGGAAGAAGATTTTCGTGAAAAAAGTGTGATCGATGTCAAAAAAAATAATTTCTAAAATTGTCTATTTTTAGAGAAGTTTGTGTCTACTTTGAGTGGAAAAAGACAAATAAGCAAAACTCAACCCAATTTTTTGACTTTTTCGGCCAAATTTTATCATTTAGAGCTCCAAAAAAGTATTTTTCGTTTTTATGGATAATTTGATAATGGCGATTTTTAATTCAATGCTAAATATTAGGTACTTTAATTTTCATCATTATCTAGTACTTAGTTTTTATCCAGATTTTAGTTTTTATTTTAAATATGAGTTGTGATAGTTGAATTTGATAATAATAAAAATTTTGGAAATTTTATATCAATATCATCTTTTTCTTGTTAGCAAATCAATAATTTTGAATTTTCATTTAAAATTTTATTCGTTCTTATAAGTTTTCATTACGTTTCATCTTTCAACAGCATACTCCATCAATTTTTATCAAGATATACTAGAACTCTAATTTTTATCTAAATCTCACACACACACACACAAAGATATATATATATATATATATATATATATATATATATGTATCAAATCTGCAATAGAATTTCTAACATCATAAAATTCTGCTCCTTTTGCATTCTATCCACCTTTACAGCAAATTCCCCTTTAAAGTATGATTCTTCCAATCTCGAAATCTGACCATAATTCCCACGTGTGCAACCATCCATGGAACTCTACTTCTCAGCAGTCTGGCCTACAGATGGAATACGTCAAAATAATAATTATAATTATAATAAGGGAAATATATTAAAATATAAAAGTGATTTTAATCCCGCAATGTAGGGACTCATTATAAAATTCAGTCAAAATAGGTGAAATTAATTCAGTAAAAAAAAAAAAAAAACTGACAAAATGAACATATTCTATTGGAGGGTGTGACGACACGCCATTAAGTGCAGTGTACAAATGTCGGATTCCCTGAGGTGAGGTAAAATGTAGGTGGAAGCACTGGGGTGGTAGGAGCCCATTGCATAACCCAAGAACACTATAGATACAAAATCTAACGTCCCCGACCACCAGCACCATCGCCCTCGTCGCACTTACGCGCCACCGCAACCGCCGCAGATAATGGGTGCTGCAGAACCTGTAAGTAAACCACTTTCACCCCACCTGCTTAATTTTTTCATAATTAGTTATTCTTGGACTTTTGCTTATTTATGTTGTTTTCTTGTATAGGTGGTGCACATAGAAAATGAAGAAGAATCAGTGCGTGAAGAAGAAATGGAGGAAAAAGGGAAAAAGGAAGATGAATTGAAGGATTTGGAGAAAGGTGAGATGAGTATTCATAAATCAGAAGTTCAAAATCAGGCTCCAGAAGAAGTTCACATGTCGAGAATGCAAAGATTGAGCAATTCAAATCCTTTAAGACTTGTAATGAATAATGCAACAAGATTTGCTTCTCCTTCGCATCAGCCCCCTCGCTCTTCTCAGCCACCTTCTCAGCCGCCTCAGCCTTCTCCTCCTCCTCCTCTGCAGCAGCCTCGCTCTACGCCTACCCCCACAAGTAAGATTTTATATCGCACACTTACACAGAAGCGGTTATAGTAAATTTGGGGCATTAGTCAAAAGAAATTATATCTAAATACGGGACCTTTAATCCACATTAAGCCTAGAACTTGAGCTGCCTCTGCATTTCTTACATAGTTTTTCTTGAATTTTAGTTGGAGATATTTTCTTGGAAACTTTTGCTTTTTTTTTTTCTTTTTTTTTTGAACAGGAATCAGTGATAACTCTGAATTCAAGATCGTACACAAACAAGTTTTCCCTGTTTTTGTTCCTTGTGCATATGGTTCTGGCTTTTGGATTGGTGTGTTTTATGATAGTTAAAGGAGTGCAAGGCCTAGTAGAAGAAGGTAAGTCCCAAAGAGAAGAGAAGAGGGTGTTGAAGTATTTTTTGCCACAAGTTGAGGCTGCCTCTTTTCTTAGCATGACACTGGCATTTGTATGGCAAAAGGCAGTTAGATTATGGCCTAATATTATGGTGCTTTTCATAATTTGGAGTTCTTTCATCTTGACTTTATCGGCCGGGATTCTTTTAATTTGGTTCCAAAGGCCAGCAACAGATGGAGTTGGAGCTCTTTTTATTGTGTTTGCCATTGGTAATGGATTATATGCGTGTTGGGTTACACAAAGAACTGGTTTTTGCTCCAAGATTTTTATGAAGGCACTTGAACCCGTATCCAAATTTCCTGATCTAAATCTTCCTACTTATTGGATGCTCGGTGCTGGATTTTGTTGGATGTCATTTTGGGTATTAGCTGTGATTGGATCACTGAATTTCTACGTACCACCATTGATTATAATTGCATTGATATTGAGCTTGGCTTGGACTGCTGAGGTTATGAGGAATGTGGCTAATTTAACAGTTAGCAGAGTAATTTCTCTTTATTATCTCAGAGGTATGCAATCTAATACCCAGTTTTGCTTCCGAAGGGCCTTGTCAAAGAATCTGGGGAGTGCTTGTCTTGGTTCCCTTTTTGTGCCTGCAATTGAAGCTTTGAGAATCTTGGCACGTGGGTTGAATTTGCTTGAGGGCGAAGATGAGTTCATGTTTTCTTGTGCGCATTGCTGTCTCAGGGTCATGGAATCAATCTTTCGACGAGGAAATGGCTGGGCTTACGTTCAAGTAATCTTGCATTCTTGCTTATCTAAGTTAAAAAATTCTTTCCATTTACATGTAGATCTTCTGGATTAAAAGTCTTAAAGAAAAAGGCACTCTGGAAATTGTCTTCTGGGGCTAGTGCTGGTGACTTGGATACCTTGGACAGTGTGCTAGATGGCATTTATGGTGGCGTCAACCTGAATCTGCCTTCATCTCAATTAGATATTAAATCTCTAAGTCTAAATATAAAGTAACTTATGATCAAAGTAATCTTGAAACAGAATACTGATAAGTGTGTTTTTACACACTTATTTGGTTTACAAATATGACTTAAACATGGATAAAATGGTTGAATTGTGACTTAATCCAATTAAATTCATGCATTGTAGGTAATTCAATGAAAATTGTGGAATTCAGGAGAAAAGAGCCGAAGAAGGACCAAAACACAACAATTTGATAGTTCGAGGACCAACAGTGCAATTATTGAGAAGTTGAGCTAAATGCAGAACGAGAGTAAAAACATGCCGAGTATGAGCTCAATGACAAAGCAAAACAAGTGGAGGAAGAAAGAATGGAAGATGGACTAAAATGAAGATAATTGAAAGTTGGAGGACTAAAGTGCAAATACTCAAAAGATGTGCCGAATGAGTGGCATAATATTTGAAAGTGTCGATCATCAATTGGAAGATAAGAGTTGTTGAAAAGATGAAGAAATCGAAGAAAGAAGTCGAGAGAAGCAACAAAGAAGTTCAGGGACCAAATTACACAAACCACATAGATGGCTACTTCTATGCGACCGCATAGTGTAACCTTCTATGCGGTCGCATAGAAGGTTTCAGGGAATTCAATGAGCAAAATAAATGATCTATGCGACCGCATAGATCCCTTCTATGCGGTCGCATAGTGATGTTTTGCAACTTCGGGCGTAGTTTTTCGTTTTTGTTGAAACTCCTTTCCTACTTAATTTGGACGCGATATAAATACCCAAATTCATCATATTAAGAGAAGAAAGACCAGGGAGAAGGGAGAGACCAAAATTGGAGGCAAGAAACTTGATTTTGGATTCAATTTCGCACGGGTTCGAGACGGGATTGAAGATTATACACATGGATTGAAGAAATTCCATACGGGTGTATTTTTATTATCTTTTAATTTCGTTTTTCAATTTCTTGATTTTGTAATGATGATTATAGGCTAGGGTTTTTGTTCATTAGGAATTTGATGAACATTTTGATGATTTAAATTTCCATTATTTCATTAATTCAACAATAGTTTCGATTGGACAAATGTTTGATTTATATGATTTGAATGCT